AGCCCGCGGGGCTGGGGGTTCCGCGCGGCCGCCTGGGCCGCGCTGCCCCGGAACGCGGCGAAGAGCTGCCCTCGCGCGCGCCCCGCGCCCAGCCCCGCCCATCCTGCGCGAGAAGAGCGAGGCTCGCAACAGCTGGCGCCGGTCTCAGCCGCCTCCCGCGGGCGCTGCCAGCCCTGCTTCTCCTGGGAAACTCACTTTCCTTTCGGGCAGGAGGAAGACCCTCCCGACGCCCGGAGACGTTGCCACCCAAGCCTCTTTGCCAACACCCCTCCCCCAGCCCTGGCCTTTCCTCTTTCTGGGAGCTTCTCCTCCGAGAAAGGCAAAGCTGGGTGAAGCTGGGTCTCCAGAACTTTCCCCAGTGGAAGCAGAGCAGGCAACTTTCTGAATGCGGGCATCTGTTAGGGCATCTCCACCAGGAAGCCCCTTTGAGCCCTGCTGCTGGTCTGCACCCTCCACCTAGAGCCTGCTCCTTCCCAGGAGCTCGAGGATGGCCCAGGGAGGGGGTTGGCTTTGGGCCTGCCCACGGGGGCATCAACCAGCCCACCTGGTGGAGAGAGTGGTGGCGGGAGAAGTTCCCTCTCTGCTTTGGTCTGGCCCTCCTGTAGCCTTCACCTTGGGGAGAAGGTGGGGAGTGTGTTCAGAAGATCCTGCAGCAACCAGTTTCAGGGGGGTGGAGGTGGCACCAAACCTGGTGGATAAAGGTTTTAACTTCCTGGGTGTGTTCAGGTGGCCTCTGGAGAGCCATTTCTTTGGGAAGCTTTAATCTGGATTCCTTGACGGAGGAGGGGTTGGGCTCCATGGCCTCAGTGTCTCTGTCCAACTCTTAGGATTCCAAGCTGGAAGGAGACTGTGGCTGGTAAATAGTTGCCATGCAGGAATAATAAGAACTGCTCTCCATATTCTCCTAACTTCTGCAAGAAATTCAAGAGGAAGAGGAGGGCTGGCCGTTCAAGAGGTGGGCTAAAGCTGGACGTGAAGGCCAAGGAGACCCAGACTTTTCCTCCAACAAGAGAAGCATCAGCCAGGTTGGGAAGGAGCAGCAAAGAAACCACTAGAGACTCCGGATCAAGATGACTCACTGGGGCCTTTCAGAGGATGATGAGATGAAGATGGAGCTGTGAGAAAGTATTTAATGAGAGCAGCAGAGGCTCAGCTCTGCAACGACGACTCTTCGGGCGGCCTTGAAGCTTGCAGAACTTTTCTTCCCAACCCCAGGGTGGAATTCCTCAGAAAACTCATGCATTTTAAACCCATTCAACATGTTGTCATTCTATGCAGGGGCTGAGTTCACACAAAACAAACAACTAGGTTCTTGAATTAACCCCTGCTCTGGGTGCAGATGTGCTAGGCCACAGGAAAATTAATCTAGCATGACTTCTCGTGGTTCTGGGTCATGTAAATCCAGCACCAATGAAGCTGGGAGCTCCTAGTGCTGAAACAGACAGTTGGGAGACAAATTGCAAGGCTGTTTTGACAGTGATAAATTTAAAATTGGGCGAGCAGCAACCTGTCTATTAATATCCTGGATGCTCCCGAACACAGACAGGTGGCTGCAGAGACTTGAGTATGCATTGCCATATTGCAAAGCCTCGTGCCAATGCATTATCCCATTAAGAAAGATGAAGTAATCCAACTTTCTAACTGAAAAACTGTGGACACCACGCAGGAAGGATGGAATAAAACCAGGACCTTGCAGAGAAAGGACACTGGCCCCAGGAAATTTGGTGGCAAACCACTGAGAAACAACTGTGATTGCTCATCTGCTGTTGACCAGAAAGCAACACAAAGCAGTCACGTTAACTTTTATTTACACATCAAAACTTCCCAAAGGAAATCCCACCAACTTCGCTACACCACCGCCTCCCCGCTACAGCCCTTGGTTACCCTCCAAGTACGGCCCTGAGCTGCCCAAAGGTGCCAGAATTAAACCTGGATCCGCGTTTGCTCACACCCTTTCCTTGCCGTCTCCGTTTCTCTTTCTGCCCCATTTCAGACCGAAAGCTTCCTGTCTCTGTCTTTAAGAGGCCTTGAATATGCCATGATTTGAACTACAGTCCTTAATGAAGGAGTTGCTTTGACAGTAAAGGATGTAGATTATTAGGTATGGGTTGTGTTTAAATGTAGGGGAACACCCGTGACCGCATCCAAGACTAAGGAGGGCAGGGAAAAGAGCCCCCCCACCGCTTTGATCAGCTTAAATACCAACGGGCCCCACCTAGTGGTGACTTCAGAGTCTGCAGCCCAAAGCCGGGGCGTGCAGCCTGGTCAAAAGCAACCCATCTGATGAACATCTGCTGTAATAAAAATGCACATTCCTGGGCTCCAATGGCTCTGCAGCTGCATTTGGAACGTGCACAGTGTTTCTGAGTTATTTATAAAAGTAATAAAGGCGGGACAAAAAAATCTAAAAAAAAATCAAAAAAAAAATCAAAATCTACTTTTGATTTAGTAAAGTCCAGCTGTGGTTTATTTCTGGTTTTGGCTTGCTGTACTAGTGAAATCTAGAAACTAGCTTAATTTGGTAACCAGGATAAGGGAGCTGCATCAACGCAGCTGATGAGTCTGGCTCTGTGCTCTGACTTAGCAACTTTCTCTTGCTGGTGTGAGGCCCGCAGGCCTGCTTAGGGGCCGTGCAGGGGAACGGCCTGGGGGCAGTCTTTAAACCCAGGAAGAGGCACTTGCCATCCAAGAACAGATCAAGTGGCCTTGTTAGTCTGGGAAACTCTCCTGAGAAGCCTGGGAGGACCTGGGATCGTCTGTCTTCTCTCCAGCTGGGTCTTGGGCAGCGTCCCATCGATGGACTTGTGGTTCAGAGTTCCAGCATGCCCCTTTCCTGCATTGCAGGCACTGTGATGGGCAGAGACAGGGGTGCCCACCCGGCGTGGTCAAAAAAAGCAAGATGGCAACTACAACGTACAACTGAAGCTCCGTGACACACGTAAAAAACAAGCAGAGCTTTGATTGCACCATTATGGCCGCCATCTTGATTTTTCTGACCATACTTTGTGGCTGTCTCTGGGCAAAGCGGAGGAGCAGTGGTGCCCTGGTGGCCAAGCAGCACACTTGGTTTGGCTTCAAAGATACCAGCTTCCATTTCCAGCATCTGCAGTTAAGAAAAGATCTCTGGCAGCCTGGGACAACTCAGCTTGGCCATGAACGGGGACCAGATTATCAGATACTCAAGCTCAGCAACAGCTGCTTCCTAACACACTCACACACTCCTTTTCCTGCTGCCAGTCAGGGCTTTCCCACCAATGGAAGGAGCAGTTTGGGTGGGTGGTATATGTTCAACGTCTTCTTGCTATCCCCAGTTACTCTCATAACCATCAACCCGGCTGGTGTTTCTTTGCATGGAAATACGCCTTTCCTTGCAGCGCAGAATTCAGCAGGGTGCCAGCTTCGTAAGGTGACTGGGCATGGCAGGGTTCCTGGCCACTGATCCTACCACTGCACCTTTTACAGGGACCCTGACTCCGCATTCTGCATTAAGGTGTAATGAGGAGAATGTGACATTCTCAGTGGCACTGCTCTTTCAGGTGTCCTGGCGATAAATCCAATACCATTCAGTCAGAAAAGGGCTGCCTTTAATAGAAGAAAAAAAAAAACCCTGAAATATTTGGAGGAGGAAAGCTAAAGAGACATTCTTCCAACAGCTAGAAAATTTAGCAAGCCTAGGCTATGGCTAAGATGAGACACTGAATCCAGGGAGAACGCAGGAAAACCCAACTGACAGTGGTGTACAAACATGCTTTTGCAGTCAAGGTGTATCCCTCCTGTCTCATTTCCAGCAACTACAGGGGGAAATCTTCATCTGTAGGGATGTTGAGAATAACCTCCATATCTGGGGTGCATCTGATGGGAAAGAGGGAAACAGAAATCAGATCCACGCTAGGAAAGAAGAAGAGTTGCCCTTGAAAAGCTCGGAGTTCTCCCTTCAGACACAGAAGCAACACATCCCTCGTTCCTTTTGCAAAAAGGGACACTGGATTGCCAAGAAGCCATTGGCAAGGGTGGCTGAAGTGGCTTTGGCCCACTGGGCGTCTGTGGCTCCCAAACTCGGAATAGGCTACGTCATCCAGAATATGAAAACAAGATGGTCAAGGCAGTGGAGGTGAGGGTGGGGCACAGATGAGAAGCTTCTCTTGGTGGTGGAGAGTTGTTTAAAAATGTACTAATTCTAGAAGGATTGGAAATTAAAAGTTGGGAGCAGCAAGGGCTCCCGAGAGTAGCCATCCTTGCTGTCTCCAGCACTACTTCCAGCCTCTACTCTTCTTGGTGCCCATCTCGCTCTTTTCAATCTCCAGCAGATCTCCTGGCTAACTGCATGCAAGCTCTGCGGCTGCAAGAAAAGGAACACTGAGGAGAAAGGCGAGAGGAGTACCTGGGTCTGCGCAGGAGGACATCTGGGAAAATCACATCGCGCGGGTCCCCGAGCGATTGGTGCAACATTATGATGCTCTTGTGCAACTCCTTGATTTCTTTCACCAGGTCTTCAATTATCTGGAAGCATTAGAAAGGACTGGGGAATTAAGGCCAACCTTCCACAGCTCAGAACATCTACTTTTTCCTACTCCCAGTTGTACCTCCCCAGCTTTTTTGCGTCTGTCGCATGGGGTTTTAAACATGCTTGGCCTCCAGATCGGGGGTTCCTCATAGCTAATGCCAAGATGCTACTCTAAATTAATGCTTCCCCAAGCCTCAGGACTCATTCCTTGCTGAAATTTGGCTCCTAAGATCTTCCTAAGCCATTTGTTGTAGAGTTTCTGAATGCAGTTCGTCCCCTAGTACAGTGTTTCCCAAAACCTTGGAACTTTTAAGATGTGTGGACTTCAACTCCATGGCTGGCTGGGGAATTCTGGGAGTTGAAGTCCACACATCTTAAAGTTGCCAAGGTTGAGAAACACTGCCCTAGTATGTCAAAATTCAGATTCTCGGCCTACAATCCCATAATAACTTCTCTCTGGGTTTCTCTAAGTAAAGGCCTCATCTCAGGATTTGTCCCCTTGTCATCTATATGTAACCGGCCAGCCTCTCACTACAAGGAAATTCTTGTGGAAGGTAACCGTACAATGGGACTACTAGCCACCAGGTGATCAAGAGAAAAAATATCTAACCAGCCCTGAAATTAGCTTAGTTCCTTGCCAAGTTATCTTGCCTCCTTTTGGGTTTCTATCTGTTTTTTCAGTTCCATGTTGTTCCTGTGCATTTGCTCAAGGCCGTCCTGATACTGCAGCAGCGTCTTCTGTACAGAAAAAAAGAACAATGCAATTGAGACGGAAACAGAACAGCAGTTCCTGAATTCTGATTGGCAACGTCAGGCAGCCAGATTTCATAACTATTCTCAAGGATGACCCCCCACCCCGCCATTTGCCCTGCTTTATAGCCTTGTGGAAATGGGGTTGTGGGCCAGATTGAGCCCTGGGCAAATCCTGCCCAAGGAGTAAGTTGGGATGCGTTACCCTTATGCGCAACCCAGGTTACAGAGTGCCTCGTCTAGGAACCTTGGAACTTTTAAGATGCGTGGACTTCAACTCCCAGAATTCCCCAGCCAGCATGGCGATGTCTTTAAAAGCTGGGAGAACAGTGACATTTTCATCTCCCACTGTTACTTTCAGGGTTTTGTAGCACATTTTAAAAGGTGCTTTCCAGCACAAAATAAATGAAACCCAGGCAGCACCAAACATGGGCTCTTGGGGACGTTGCACAATCGAACCGAAAGCTATCTGGAGATGTCCCGAGCAATGCAGAGAGATTCCACTAACATCAGCCACCGTCTGTAAAATGCGCTCTTGCTCTTCCCTCGCTTTTCCTGCTAAGGTTTCCAGGAAGCGTTTGGCCAGATCTTCTGTATCTTCCAATTCATCCTGGAGATGGTGGTACAGGAGAAGCAGCGGCACTGAATAAGTGCCTGAGGGCTGCGTTGCCCCCCCGCCCCGCTTCTGGCACGAGAGACAGGTGCCCGGGAAGCCTCCCCCCGCACCTGCTGCTCTTCACTCAGGTTCCGGATGCTGCGCAAAAGAGATGAGATCTGGACCGCTTTTAATGGGTACTCCTTGTCCATGTAGGTTCGCAAGACGTTCACCTCCTCCTGGAAGGTGTGCACTTTAGTGCTGACCCGTTTCAATTCCAGGTCCAGTTCTGAAGAGGAAAAAGCAAGGGAGAGAAGCTACGCCAGAGGGCCACGCTTAGCGGAGGAGCCCCCTGAATATATTGGCAACCTGTTATTCACACAGTCATGCACATCCTCCCCTTTCAGTGTCCATACATTACTCAGACAGTTCGGAACATTTTAAAACCACAATACTGTACTATCTAAAATGACATCTTAAAATTGCATACACAGATGTGGGGAATGCAGCTGATTCAGTCTTTAAACAATGAGGCTCTCTTCATCCTGGAAAATATTCTGGTTATGGAGGGAGAAAACCCCGAAGAGAAACCATACATTAAGCATAGGTCCTCTGGTGCCAACTTATTTTAGGAAGAGTCACTCTTTAAATTCCTGTAATGTTAGGTTGGAGAGTTTGTAAGGAAGACATATGTCCATCTTTGGTCAATGGTCAATCCAGTTTGACCAAGCTTTTGAAGAGAGTGGGAAAAGTACCCAGCCATCTTTCACAAAGAATTATGCCACTGCCTGCCCAGAAACAGATGCCACAAAAGACATGGATTTGGTTCTTCCAAAACGATGGAAAACTGAAATATATCTTTCATTGGACTAGCAATGTTTAAGTGTGTGGGAAACTGCCCTGACTAAAAAATTAACATAACAAAGAACTTAGAAAAACACTCAACGAAGAATAAATTCACTCCCACCCAGGAACCACATCTTGGCTATACAGTATTCACCATGTTTTCCTAAAGGATCACCATTGTGTGGCCAAAGCCACGTTAGTCTATGGTGGCAAACGATCAGGAGGAGTCTGCTGGCACCTTTTCCAACCGACCTTTCTTGAGTTGCTGCTTCTGCCTTTTAATAAAATTGGTTCGTTGGAAAAGGTGCCAGCAGACCCCTCCTGATTCTTCTTCTATACAAAACTCATTCTACTAGTAGAAATATTGCCTACAGATGTTACGTGTGAATGAAGCTATGCCTTGTTTTTCATTCCTGTAGGGATTTCCCCCCCTTCCCGTTTCGTAGCTTCTTTGTGTGAAATCCCTTTTTCCCAAGGCAGATGCCTTGAAGCTTATTTGCATTGCCTTTAGATCAGAGTTGTGTCCCTGTGGCCGGTCAAGAGGGCTGGAGAGGAGGCTGCCTTACAGTAAAGGCCACCATTTGCCTTTCAGAGAGCTGCCAAATAGCTTTTCTCGACTTCCTGGGAAGCCAGCGGCCCGGTTTCTGAAACCCAACTTCCTTCAGTGGCAGGGGAATTTCGGAAACCCTTTCCAAACAGGCCAGTTGGACGGCCCGCCAAGCCCAGGACTGGCTCCATGTACTCTGAGTGGTGGCGCTGGTGGATCCCGGGGGAGCCATTCCTGCGCCTGCGCCTGGCTCCTTTTGGGGGGAGCTACGTGGTACTCAGCCCAGCTCAATCATCGGGCAGCAGAGCGGGTGCTCTGCCTCTCGGCTCCCTGTCCCTCCAACCTCTCCATCGTTCTGGCAGCAAACCAGCGCACTGTCTGGCCTTCTCACAAGGACACGTTGTCCCCTTCAAGAGGGGGTGCTTGATAAGCAAGCAGGGCAGGCTGCACTGATGCTCTCCTTGGGGATTTCAAGGCACAGACCTCTTCTCCGCCCCTGCCCCCCGCCCCCCAGCCAAGAAGGTGTGGGCATGGCTTACTTCCCATATTCTTCTCCACCATCTTCTCCACTGCTTCGAGTTCTGCTCTGGCGACACCGACCTGGTTCTGATTGGAGTCTCGCAGAGTTGCAATGATCCTCTGTGGGGATTGAAACAACAGGGGACCCGCTGCTCAGGAGGGCCCAAGGCCAAGGGGCCAAATGGCCTTTCACCAGGGGTCAGGAGGGTGGCCTAAATTGTGCCATCGAAGACCCCACCCCTGCTTTGCGTGCCAACAGGGGCAGAGTTTGGCTTGCCTGGTTGGAGGCTACCGTTTGACTCCCCACCCTACCCGCGTGGGCACCCTCAGTTTGCATGCTGCACAAAGCTTTCTGCGTGGACGGCTCCTGTTCTGTTCAGCAAGGCCCAGAGGGATTAAGGGGAAATTTAGGGTTTCTTTCAGCTGCTTCTCGAGGAAGAGGAAACAGAGGCTGAAGACGAAAAAGACACCTGGTGGAATCCAGGAAGAGAGAAAGGGAGGGACGGGGAGGGAGCCGAAGAATCACAGCTTAATGGAGACAGAGAAAGCCAAGAGGTCGCAAACACAAAGACAGGTTGTGGGGGGCATGAAGAAGAAAAGAGATGGTGCCTCTGGAAGAGGACAGACCTCCGGCCCCAAGATTCGCCGGTTTCCTGACTTCACTCCTTCTTCCAAGGCTTCCCCTTCCTCTGCCCTTGTGCTTCATCCACCCCACGCTCCTCCCCACTTACCTGTTCACCCCGTTTCCCAGCCTCCCTTCTCCTTCCCTATCCTCCAGCCTTTGGGGGCTGTTTCAAGCTTTTGTTTGCTTTATTTGTAAACCCTGAATTTAACTGGTGTGGATCTTCCGGGCTGTGTGGCCGTGTTCTGGAAGTTTTGTTTCCTAACGTTTCGCCAGCCTTCGACAATACCTGAATTTAACCTTTATTTAGTAAGAATTTGGCTAAAACGTGAACATGAACAATGCATAAAGTCTAGGGGATCTCACAGTTTGGGTTGCGATCATAAAGGGGTAGGGTCCTCTGCCAGCCCAGTGGAAGCGTGCACCATGTCACCCTCCCAGAATGTCTTCTAAAGCCAGATTTTTCACTGGCTTATAATGCTTGTGAATATGCCATGGTATCACTGCATACCAGCCGATGGAAGGAGGAGTGGGGGGGAGGAGATTTCAGGTACACATCTTGTGATCTGATCATGAACCTGAAATGCTTGGATTTAGGCATCTCCTGGATTCAGGAGAAAGACTACTCAGAGGCCGAAAGTCCCAGCCCCCGCCCTGGCATCTCCCTGGAGGGATGGAAAAAAAACCATTTCCCCGCCTGGGAAAGCCAAGGCCAGTCCAGCCATCTCGAGGGGGACCAAGATTTCAACATAGAGCAGTTGTTTCTCTTTGGAGACGCGCAGGATAGCCACTCACACGAGGGCTTCGGAGCCAAAGGTCTTACATTGCAGGGTTCAGCCACCAGCGGTCAGTTGGAATGAACTGGCCCTTAACAGCCGTCACTCTCACCACTGGGATTCCTGCATTGCACTTACAAGCCCAAATGTGGCTCCTTTGGTCTATGAGCCCAGAGGCTTGAAAACCATGGTTCTGGGTTTAGTGTGTTGTGTGAATCTAGCCAGCTTTGGCTTCTGTTCAGCTTTTTTTTTCAGTGCCTTTGAGTCAGTGCTGACTCCTGGCGACTGCCTGGTTGAGTCCCTGCGGTTTTCTTGGCAACGTTTTTCCGAAGTGGTTTGCCCCGGTCTCCTCCTTCCTAGGGCTGAGAGAGGGGGACTGGCCCACGGTCACCCAACTGGCTTTGTATCTAAGGCACAAAGCTGTTATTTAGCCAGCTAAATATGGCTTAATACCATGAGTGAGCCCAGCCAAGCCACAGAGGCTGATGAGGGCTGATGCGGGCCCTGCGAGGAGGAGCGCTACTTTTCCCAAAGCAAGCCACGTATCCCCTGCTCTGCGCTGAAGGGCCCAGCTGCATGCGCCCTGGGATGATCTGGAATCTCCATGCCCAGAAAGTCTGGCTCTGCTGCTCTGGTTGATCACCACGCACTTCCCCAGCCCATGTGGCCTTACCCCAAACATGTCATATTGCTGCAGAAGGGACCTTGCATGCTTGGCAGAATCAGCTTCAATTTCCTGGATCTCCTCCACAAGGTCCTGGTTCTTCTCCAGGAGCACGTGGGAATGGTGCTTTAATTCTTCCAGACTGGCCATCTTGCTCTTTGAAAGTCGCTAAGGCGTTTTTGAAAAGACGGGTTACCAAACAGCTTCCCTTCACTCTGCTTGACAATCAGATGGAAAGAGACCCCGGTCCCAGGATGGTGCACTCCCACACCACCCCTACTTCTCCACTGGTTCCCTTTTGCACATTCTTTTAAGAACATAACCAGTGGTTCTAATCCCCAAATTTGAGGTTCCTGGTCTCCAGCTCTGGGGGAATGCCATGTGAAATCTGGCCTCCTGCCCAGGAAACACCGGGGCCCGCATGAGATACACCCACATCTGTATCAACAGCATCGGGTCCTAGGTGCTATTTCCTTCATGTACCTGCAGGATTTTGATGTTCTCCAAGGTGTCTGTCTTTGCTTTGTCTTTAGTCCTGACTGGTTGCCAACCAAGCTTCTGCCTGGAGGAGGAGGTCACTTTCAAGCCCATGCCTGGAGCCTTTCGTTCCGCTAAAACAGAACACAGCGTGAGTGCCTGACGACGATACCCTGATTGGTCTGAGTAAAGCATGTCAGAGAAGGGGAGCGTATCTGACTCGGTTCCAAAAATGAAACCCCAAACTACCTGTGACTCTGCTGGGCTTGAAACATCCTCCACCCCAGAAAAGTTTGGCGTAGTGCTCATCATCATCCTCCAGAACGGGATGAGGCCTTTTGGAGATACCAACAAGTCCACACGGTGTTCTTGGCAACATTTTTGGAAGTGGTTGGCTTCTTCTTCCTCAGGCTGGGAGAGAGGGGCTGGCCCAAAGTCACCCAGCTGGCATCGTGCCTAAAGCAGGACTTGAACTCCCAGTCTCCTGGTTCCTAGTCTGGTGCCTTTAACCACTAGACCAAAGTGCCTCAATACTGGGGTATTAGGAATAGATAAAGGAAATAAAGAACTCCACCTGTCCTTCTCTTGGCCTGTCCTCTATCTTTTTTTTTTTTTGGCCTTTCAATCAACTTGACTCCTAACAAGCACATGGATGAACCCATGTGGTTTTCTAGGCAGAATTTTCAGAAGTGGTTGGCCTTCTTCCTGAGCTGAGGGAGAAGAACTGACCCAAAGTCACCCCACTGGCTTTCGTGTTCAAGGCAGGACCAGCGCTCAGGTTTCTCTGCCCCACTAAACCAAACTGGCCCTCCTTCCCCTAATGACAGGAATGATTCCCTTAGGCTCTTCCTCTTGCTTACAGGAAGAAGAATCCCTTCCTTTCTTCCTTGTCTCTGGCACGACAGAAAGTTTAGAGATGCAGGTGTTCTATCTAGCATGTTCCTTCCTTGATAAATGCTGCTAGTTCTTTTTAGACTTTATTTATTTATTTATTCATTCATTCATTCATTCATTCATTCATTCATTCATTCATTCATTCGGCTTGTATGCCGCCCATCTCCCCCACGGGTGACTCTGGGCGGCTCACAATAACTTTAAGCCTCTGCCTCTTAATGGGCTTCATTCCACTAACCTACACAAGCTCCGCTGAATAGGAAACAATGGAAATGAACTGGAGGGTTCCAGCCCAAAGTTTTTTCTTGCAGGGCCAGACTACGTCAGCAGAACCCCTTTCCAACCTGATCTCTTGTCCTTTATCTTCTGCAGGGACTTCTTGTCCTCCTCCTTCAATACTGCTGATATGGCAGGGGGCAGGAATAATCTTAATTTTTGTCCTCTCGGTGTCTGTTCTCTTTGCCACTGGTTATAATCCTAAATGCCATGAGAAAAAGAGGCACATTGATAGAACAGCAGGGAACAAACCTTCAGTAAAACAATCGGCTGAAAAATAGAGAAAATTCTGCACTGAAGAACATAATCCGTGACCTGCTAGATTGGACCCCTGGCCCAGCAGCCTGTTCTCACAGAGGCCGACCAACTGCACAGGGAAGCCCACTGGATGGCCTTCAGAGGCCATCCCACACCATCACAGCTAATCGTAATTGATCCCCAGGACTTCCAGGAATCGGTCCAACCCCTTTTTTGAAGCCAGCCAAGCTGGTAGGCAGCATCACATCTCAGGGTAGCGAATTCCAAAGTTTAGTGAAGTTGAACTCCAACTTCAATGGCTTCATGAGAATCCATACCCTTCACAGTCACAGAGATGGCAGTCCCTCATTCACCTGGGAGGAAGCTCAAGAGACACCGTGGGAGACTAATGCAAGCATTCCGCCTTCTCAGTCAGCATCACCGTTCCCCCAGATAGGGTGGCCCTGTATGGCATGTCTGGATCTGCAGCTGTGCCTCGACCAGCTTCTTGCTTCTACCTAAACCCTAACATATTCTGGTCAGATGTGACAGACCTTCAGGCCTAGAGGAGAATCTAAGCCAACTTTTTTTTATTACACCCTATGGACACCCCTGGGGTCAACTCCCCCAGGTCCCATGCCTATGGGACGGTCACCTAACGGAGCCCTGAGGGAGGCATTCTCTGTGGCTGTCGCCACTCTTTGGAACTCCCTCCCGGCGGGGATCTGAGCAGCTTCACCTCTCTTCGGGAAAGCTTTGAAGACCTCCTTGTTCCATCTTGCGGAAAGGAGGGTGCTCTTTAAGTGGAAAGGGAGGAGTCTGTTGGTGTGTAATATTTCTACCCGTTGATGCTTTCCTTTGGTTTTAAAAAAATTAAGCTTATCATCTTAAATTAACATCTTAAATTTGCCAAGGTTGAAAAACACTGCTCTGCATGGAGGATTTGATAGCATTCCACTGTGGTCAAATAAACAGTTGACAGGATTTCACTAGCCAAATGATTGGATGCCAACCCAAATTCATGCCACCATGAGAGCCATCTCCTACCGCCACCCACTCCCTTCAGTCCTAAAATCTTTTCACTCTATGACTAGGAATTGTATAATGAGGTAACTGACTTTTAGGTATATTTTATACATCTCTCCTCCATATCTTCCTCCCACAATATAATGTGTGTTGTTATACCTGTTAATGCCATCAGGGGCCCAATTATGTGCCCACTCCACGTATATACACCTATTATATCACTGAAAACGCCCTACAGATGTTTTTTTCAGTGGCAACTGCTGTAAATAACCTTTCGCGCCACCCACACACCAGTATAGGCATGGAAATTCAGTTTGACATGGAAAGCCAAGGAAACTATTCAGTTTGACATGGAAAGTCAATGTGGGCCTCCATCCAGCAGTGTCCTGCTTAAACATACATATTTCTTTTTCTGTAAAGAATATGGAATCATGCCCATTTTGTTACCTATTCAGATAGATAGATAGATAGATAGATAGATAGATAGATAGATAGATAGATAGATAGATAGATATGAATTGGATCTTTGCACCATATTGCTTTCTTTTTCCAAGCAGTCTTTCTGGAACTCACAGTTTGTTTTAAGGAACTAATAATACGCTTGGGCACCAAACCCTGATTCCTGGCAGACATCTTTGGAGCCGAGGAACAGCCCTGCAAAAGGAACACGGAGAGGAAATGCCAGCATCTGGAGCATTTTTGCCTGGATGACAAAGAACTATATAAAAAGAAAAAAGGGGGCGGGCGGGGGAGATACTGGAGACCCACCATAGTCAAGTTTTGCAAAAGGTGCTTTTGCTGTCTCTTGGAAATGAAACATTTCTTATTCTGCAGAGGAAAGCTGCTTTTACTGGAGCAGCAAAAGGCTGCGAGGAAAACACGCCCCGTAAGTGACTTGAAATAATGCTTTGGGATGTGGGTGAGATCTCCCACCGATCCCAAAGCATTATTTTATGTTATTATCTTATTATTCTTCGTCATGGAATATTTATATGCTCCCTCATCTTTCCAGATTCATGGAGGCTCACAACAAATAGCTAGAGCAGGGTTCCTCAACCTTGGCGACTTGAAGACGGGTGGAGTTCGACTCCCAGAATTC